TATGGGGCTGAAACATGGACACTTAGGGCAGTAGATCAGAAACATCTGGAAAGTTTCGAAATGTGGTGTTGGAGAAGGATGGAGAAGATCAGTTGGATCGATTATGTGAGAAATGAAGAAGTGTTAATTAGAGTCAGTGAGCAGAGGAATATCCTACACGAAATAAGAAAACGGAAGGCTAATTGGATTGGTCATGTTTTACGCAGAAACTGCTTTCTAAAAGAACTTATTGAAGGAAAGATAGAGGGGCGGATAGAAGTGACAAGAAGACGAGGAAGAAGACGTAAGAAGATGCTGGATGACCTTGGGGACAGAAGAGGATACTGTCATTTGAAGGAGAAAGCTCTAGATCGCATTAAATGGAGGAATTATTTTGGAAGAGACTGTGGACCTGTCGTCTGACAGATTACTGATGATGATGATGCTGTACGTTGCCTCAAGGCATATCTTAGAATAAAAGTAGCTGAAATTTCATTAGTCTTGTACATTCATTTGTGGCTAGTTAAAACTTCTACCTTATATTCCATGTGCCAAGCAAAGAACAGGAACAAATGACATAAAATTTCTATGGCAAGTAAGATATTCACTCACCGGAGATGGATGGTACAACTTCCCTGTTGGTGGACCAGGTTGCATGAAAGGCTGGAAAGACGATCCTCCATGCTGTGGTGGCATAGCTCCCGACTGAGGCATACCTCCTACTGAAGGTGGCATACCTGTAGGTGGAGGCATATGTGCATGTGCTGCAGACATGTTTCCTGGTTGAGGGGGTATGATTCCATGCTGAGTGGGCATGTGGGGCTGTGGAGGCCCTACCATAGGCCCTCTTCCTGATGCAGGTGGAGGACCCATAGACCCATTCATATACCGAGAGGGTGCCCCATGCTGCTGCTGTCCAGGGGGTTGCAGAGGTTGACCTGGAGATGATGTAGGAGGTGGAGGACCTCCATTGATAGCTGGTGGAAAGCTGCCTGGAGAATGATAATAGTTTGCTCCTGGAGCACCTGGAGGCACACTAGCAAGGCCAGGTTTTGTTGGAGGTCCAACAGGGTAATTCTGGAAAAAAAAAAAAATATATGAAATTCTGTATCTGAAGTTATCACCACATGAAGTAACAAAACAAATGCATCATTTTCTTCAAGGACAGTGAATAAATATCTAATTTATGGTAACAGTAAATCTGTCCTCATCCTTATGTTCTACACCACGAAGACATATAGGAACGAGGACGTAAAGCTCCATGCATTTTTAATATCAGCACTAGTTGGAGGCGAGTGCTTAGCTTCACACTTTGACAGCTTTAACCTGGCAAAAGAGCCCTCAGCAGCCACTGTATACGAGGATGGGTGGGCCTCAGTGCCAGTGTGGGCATGCTGGAAAGTTAAAAATTCCTGTCCTACAAAGAACTGAAACCTTCATCACCCAGTCCACACAAGTCACTTACTGACTGATGAATATGACCTGAAATCTCACGAATGTGTGAAGCAAGTTCCCTTTACAGAGAAAAGTGAATGCACTGTTCCCACCACAAAAAATTTGTGGGCAATGTATGAATTTAGCTGAGTAAGGCAGTCAATGAAATGCAATAACAGGCACTCTGAACTTAATATTGTGATGTGTCTTAGTGACTATAAAAGGTGTTTGGATTTGTAACTGGATTTACCGAACACTTATACCCACAATTCGCAACTACAAGTAACTAAAACAGCCTCACTGGTTTACACACTCTAATTGTAGCACACACAATGTCTTCTGCCTTCACTCATCATTTCCAGGTAATGGATCTTAACAATGTCCTCTGCTAATATCCTTACCAGCTGGCGAACATCACACAACTGATTCATTGGTCCAACTGTCTAACTCCCAGGCTGGCGGCCATCTCACACCAACCTCCTAACCTTCTCTTTACTGACTGACTAACTGCAGCTTCCTATGGCTGCACCAAAGATCAAGTGGTTAGTCGCTGGCTTTCCAATGTGGCATCCCGGGTTCGATCCCGGGTCTGGTCAAGTGGAATCTGTGGTGGAGAAAGTGGTGCTGGGGCAGGTTTTCTCCAAGTACTTCAGTTTCCCCTGCCAATCTTCATTCCAGCAAATACTCCATCATCATAGTCACCCAGGGCAGGTACAATAGGCCAATCTGTGGCTGCCGTGCTGAATGGACCCAGCTGGACTTTACCCGCCACTAAACTGCAGCTTCCAACTCGTCCCGCTTAAACATCTTGGTATGGACCACATAAAAAACACACCTCCTCACTGTTGTAGTTCAATTATTTCCATGGGAACATGTTTGTTTCCAAAAGGAGTTACTCAGTAACTGCTCTTGTATATTTGCTTATCTTGTGGTCATTGCCCAGCAACGGGTCTGCGTGCTACAATATTAAGACTTTATATTGGCAATACATTTTACTCATATTACAGCAGGTGTTTTGGAAATGACAAAAACGTGAAAGACATTCCTGAAAACAAATGTGCTACAAGCACATGAACTATGCTGGTTGAAAAGTGAGCACAACATGAAGCAGCACAAAAATCCAAAAAATCAATGAAATTATTTATGAAAACTAAAAACCTGAAATTCCTACAACAAAACACAAATCATTACACAGTGAATGTATAGTAGACATCGCATGCTGATTCAACTACATTCTCTCTGAGGGCTTAGTTAAAATTCTGTTTCGTTTACAAGAGCTCTGTTTTCTAGAATATAATGCAGTGCAGTGCAGTGAATGTCAACCGGTGTTTTACAGGAACTTACCACCTGCATCTTCAGGGTTGATGAGTAAGCCAAGCAAGATACCAGCAGAAGCAGACATCAGTCTTATTCTTTGACCTTAAAATTTGAGGCAATATGTTTCTCTGAAATGCCAGTTGACTTTCATTGCACTACACAACATTATATCATGCAAGACATACCTCTTCATGGTCACTGCCATTACACAGTTCCTAAATCCAACTGACCCTCTTCCATAAGAAGATCCAGCTCTCAGCAACGTCAAGTACCTTGGTCTAGTATTAGACAAGGAACTGACATGGAAAAAGCAGCTGGATAAGGTCATCAATAAAGCCTATAAGGCTCTTTGGACATGCAGAAGCATGTTTGGTAAAACATCGGGACTGCAGTCGCACGTTGTGCATTGGATATACACTGCAGTTGTAAGACCCAAAATTACATACGGCGCCACAGTATGGTGGCCCAGAGTTGAACTCAAGACAAGTAAGGCAGAACTTGGCAAACTGCAAAGGTTGGCTTGCTTGGGTATCACAGGAGCAATTCAAACATCTCCAACAGCTGCACTGGAGATACTCCATGGACTCCCCCCACTGCATACACAGTTGGGGGCAGAGGCCAGGGCAGGAATCTACCATCTCCAGTGCAGTGATCAATGGAAACCTAGATCCAATGGTTTCAGCCATGCATACATAACTCAGGACATGAAAAAAGAACCCATATTACAAATGGGGTCTGACAAAATGATACTGAGACATGTATATGAAAAACCCTTCACAGTCAAATTTCCTGACAGGAGTGAATACGAAGATGGGTTTCGGCCCAATAGAAAAGTGGGACTGATCTGGTATACAGATGGTTTGAAGATAAATAGGGCACTGGAGCTGATGTGTTCTGCTATGGCATGAGGCAAAAACTTAGTTTCAGCCTTGGGCAGTACATGACAGTATTCAAGGTAGAAGTATATGCCATTAAGACATGTAATGTGGAGAATCTAGATAGGAACTACAGAAATAGGAACATCTACATTCTATCTGACAGCCAAGCTGCACTTAAAGTGCTTAACAAACACCAGATCAACTCAAAATTGGTCTGGGATTGTCACTAAACTCTCATGGAGCTGGCCAAACATAACAGGGTACAACTGATATGGGTGCCAGAGCATGAGGGTATTGCTGGAAACGAAACAGCAGACTAATTGGCCAAGACTGCAGCTGAACATCCGTTCATAGGACCTGAAAAATATGAATCACAAGAAATACTGGGGATCCTTAACTGGACTCAGGCAAGCAAAGGGACTCATACGAGGACCCTCTACTAAAAGAGCGAAGGAACTGTTGAAGTTAAACAGGAACCAGCTATGATGGGTGGTAGGACTACTTACAGGACACTGTCACCTTAAAGGACACCTCTTAAAATTGAGACTAAGTAACAGTCCAACTTGTGAGAGGTGTCAAGAAGAAAACGAAACAGCCACACATATCTTGTGCGAATGTTAGGCCTTAGCTTATTTAAAATTGCGCCACTTGGGTCAATATTTTATGGAACCAAGTGACTATTTTGACATCACCATGTACAAAATCCTACGCTTCATTCGAAGTGCAGGACTGTTGAGGGGATAATCAGAAGGGGAGGCACAATAGATCACTGTGGTCACGGTGCAAGGGCCAAAAAGGCCCACCTCTTATACATTCATTCATTCAACCATAAGAAAGCATTCAAAATTGTTAAACACTAACTCGTGTTAGTGTTCTGCCGCATGGGGCAGAAATCGCCTGTAGTAGTTCAGCATGCCAAGGAAACGGCGGAGCTGACTGGCGGTTTTGGGAGGTTGACATTCCTGAAGGTGAGTCACTCGTTCTTCCAGAGGTTGGGAGCCTTCGGCAGCACACCAGACACCGTGTTTACAAGTTCCCTAGCAACCGCTGTTTACTCGCTTTTGCCTAGCAACCGTTGCTTACTCGTTGTTGCTAAGCAATGACGCTTGCGTTGTCACACTTGCTTGAATGTGGGCAGTTCCCACACTCCATTTAACAAAATCTCTGTTCTCAATTACCTCACAAGAACACATCATAGCTTTGCTGTCACAGTTTATCTGGATACTTACTGCTGTATGGTTACAGAATGCTTGTCATTAGCAGGAAAATGTTATGAATACATTATAAATAACTTCATTAGAACAGACAAAACAAATTAATAAAGGGGGAGGTGCAAAGCAGCACCCATGAATTAACTATACACTTAGAAATCAATGAATAAAGGAAACCCAGACACAGACAATGTATACAAACACAACAGACACACAGGTAATTCTGTAGGAAAATAAGCCTTACTTACGGAATTCTGAATAGATGGTGGTGGTGGTGCCTGACCACTTAAGTTCATCCCCGATAACTGAGTTGCTAACTGATTTGGAGTTGATGTGGGTGGTGGCACCATCACTGGTGCCTGCTGCGGCATAGTATGAGGTGGAGGTTGAGAACCTGGTCCTCCAGGGGGTCCTACAGAACAGTCAATTACAGTATTTGACTGCTGAAACGCAGGAAAGTCTAAAGGGACACAGGTAGATCAGGATTAATGTGAGGCTAGTGCATGCACAGTTGAGGTTACCATTAGGGTTTCAGATGCTGCCACTTCATTCAGCAATTGTTTATCTTCACTTGTGCATGTGCTGCTGCCTCCCGTAATACACGTAGCTTTTTGTGATTTGTTTTCATCATTTCAAGAAGTGCCCGTAACAAAATTGGCAAAAGAATAAGATAAAGTTGCTTCAGTTTTTTGTGGTTTACAAACATCTAAACAATATCTTTGTTGCATCCCATGGATCAAGGTATCATTGCAACATTTAAGGCCTACTACATAAAAAAATTGAATAGGCAACTGCTAAAACTACAGACGACAATGTAATTTCCTTTACAAAGTTCTGGAAAAATTATAACATCACACAGGCAACAGAAAATTTTCACCATGCTTGGCAGCAAATAGGTGCAAACAACATGTGTGGAGCATGGAAGTGCATCTTGCCTCATTTCTGTCTGTGTGCACTGGTGAACTTAACAACTGAAATAACCCAGTAACTCTGATTAAGCAGCTATGAAAGTTATACTGTTTGGGTGCATGATGCAAACAGTGTTTGGATGCGTGATATAAAAAGGCATATGTTCTCAGTAAAAGGCAGGGCTAATGAATTATCAGCTGCATGAATTGGGTCATTGGTTTAGGAAAGGAAATAACAGTGATGCCAGTGCAACAAGATGAGAGGTAAGGTGGATTTCTTCTGAGACAGCTAATACATTTCTACTAAAGCTTTCATAATAGAATAGCTTTTTGTCAGACTACTAAAAGTAAAGTAAAGGTATCCTTGTAATAGGCCGTGGAGGCCCATAGGGTTGTGAGATGTTGAGGTTCCCACATATTTTAGACCATCAGCTCATAGATGGCAGCAAGGTTGTCAGCCCTACGTGCCGGCCACCCTTTACCCCCAAGAACATTCCAAGAATATTCCTGGTATTCATTTCTGCTAGAGGCTGAGTCAACCCCAGGACCATAGTGTGGCTTGGAAGGATTAGGTAACTGAAAAAAACCCAATGACCTCATCTGGATTTGATCCCACGACCTTCCAGCTTGTAGCATTGTGCCTCAACTGACTACACTACTGCACTGACTACAGTATCTATGAAAGATTTCACTGGTTTTTGTTTCAATGCAAAATCTTAAGAAGCCATTAAAATACAGACATTTTAATAAAACCCAGCACAGTCACAGATATTACAGGATCTTAATCCATCCAGACTACTTTATGCTGGGTATTTAAATTCCTGTCTCTCTACCAGTGTTACATGCATGATAATGACGGTTTTAAAGAGTTAATTTCCAGACGACAACATAATGAATATAATATCATAAAAGTCTCAAATGTCATATCTGCAGTCACCCTAAAAATATATTCTTAGTCATGCTAACAGTCCATTTAATTGATGTTAAGTAAATATTTATTAAGTAATTTTAATTTACAGGGACTCTAGTCTCCTGATAGCAATTGAAAACAGACTGTCTTAAAAATTAAAATAAATATTTTTTCAGTCCAATACTAATCAGCCTCCTCCTACTCATCAGCAATGGCAAAATAGCCCCTTTTGAGCCATAGCCTACCTTAGAGAATTCTGCCAGATTTGTTCCAGTTTTCACTTCTTTGGATTTCACAACAGTAATTCTTTTACAGAGCAAGGCCATCAGCCTTGAGTCCCACCCCAAGCTCCAGGTTCCCTTTTCATCACCTTCTATGACTCGCAAAGCTATGGTGGAGGTATTCTAACCACCAAACAAACAGGCACATTCCACCATAATTTTTATTAAAAGGGTACTGTTATGCTCAAGGTTATGATGATCACCTTCTTTGCTTATAACTACTCTGAGGCCATTGTAATAAGCCTCATGGGTCAAACGCTTCCAGTTGTCTAGCCATTCTGTTCACACAAAAGTTTGTAGTGATAACCACACAACAAACACTCCGTGCTGGCATAGGTCACAGTGGTCTGGAAGGGAATATAACAGCCAGCAGGGAGTGGAAAGCCTTGAGCAGTGTCACCCTTACCATCCATAGGGCTTCTTTCCACAGCCTCAACACAAATATACGTCACGGAAACTGCTTTATTTTATGCAATAAATTAATTTCATTATTTATGACATATACATAAGAAGAGTCCTATCCTGGGATATAATGCTATACAGTCCACTGAAAGTCAACTGATGTTTCAGAGGAATATAACACCTCCATCTTCTGGGTCAAAGATGAATTCAAGCAAGAAACCAGCACATAGCAGTTGGTAAGCTGAGCTGGTTTCTTGTTGGGCTTATTCTTTGACCCTGAAGATGGAAGCAACATGTTCCTCTAAAACGTCGTTTGACTTCCAATGGACTATACGGCAATATATCCCCAAAATAGAACTCTTCCTAACCACAGCTGTGAGAACCTCAGATCCTACACGGCACTATATCCCAGAAGACAGAACTCTTCCTAACCACAGCAGTGAGAACCTCAGATCCTACATGGCACTATATCCCAGAAGATAGAACTCTTCATAACCACAGCTGTGAGAACCTCAGACCCTACACGGCGCCATATCCCAGAAGATAGAACTCTTCATAACTACTGCTGTGACAAATCCTACATGGTGCTATATTCCAGAAGATAGAACTATTCATAACCACAGCTGTGAGAACCTCAGACCCTACACGGCGCTATATCCCAGAAGATAGAACCCTTCATAACTACTGCTGTGAGAACCTCAGATCCTACATGGCGCTACATCCCAGAAGATAGAGCTCTTCCTAACCACCACTGTGAGAACCTCAGATCCTTCATATATGTGTAATTATCAACATTCATGTAATGGAATTATTTAAATACTAAGACCTGTAGCGGCCTCCGTAGTCTAGAGGTAACGTTCCCACCTCATGACTCGTGGTACGCAGGTTCAAATACCTGGCGGAGGTCGTCGAATTTTTAAGGGTGGAAAAATTTAGGGAACAAGTCCTCCGGGAGGGACTTCAAGCTGTGTGTCCTGTGTCATAACTTTACGGCACGTAAAAGAACCTCATATCCCCAAAGGGGATCACTGAGCCAAATTCCAGGACGTTTCCCGCCCAACAATAGCCTCTAAGGCCTCTGATAGATGGGGGAAGCATTATAGACACTGCTAAGCAAGTGGCCGAACTCGCTTGCTCGGCGGGACTGATGGTAAGCACCATTTATCGGTAGGGTATAGAGACTGGTAGAATATCATAGAGGGAAGCACGATAGATCAAACTGGTCGCGGTGCATGGGGAAACCCATCCTCTCTAAATAACTAACTAACTAACTAACACAGACCTGTTCTGATTCTGATCTAACAGTCTATGAAAATGACAATAACTCTACAAAGTTGTATGTGTTGCCCTTATTCATGTGCCTTGTCAAAAAGCTGTGACTACTTCAGAAATACTTAGCCACAAGATGCAGTCATGTGAATGATTACCTCACTCCAATTATTTCTCAAAGTATCACTGTTACATGCACATGTGAATCAACACCCAGCAAACCATTATTTTAAAACTAAAAATAACTTACTGAACTCCCCTCTGCAAAAAAATATTAGAGCTTCTACAATTACAAAAGCCCTTTTTATGGGCAAAATATTTCCTAAAATAATTAAATCTGCCTCTGAGATAATAAAAACATACCATGATATGATGGTTAAAAGCCCATACAGTGGAGCAACAAGAGATGGTCACTGATAAGCAAGGATCAGTAAAAACATTCCAGTGGCAACAGATACACATTCAACACTGGAAGAACTGTTGGACACAGTGTTTTCTACGTGGTCTGTGCCAAGGCTATATAGCAAGGGCCATCGGGGAAACTGAACACTGTGCTGGTGAGGGCCAGCAGCAATTCAACAGAGAGACAGCCAGTTAGCCAGTCCTGAGTTGGAAGTCAACAGTCATGGGTCAGAGGTTAGTGAGAGAGTCTTGAGTTGCATTGTTAGACACCATTACCAAGCAAAGACTAGGGATGACATGGAAGACTTAGTGTTTGCAGCAGTGATCTGCAGAGTGTATAGAGTAGTCAGACTGTTATAGGAATCTATAGCTATGACTTAAAGTGTTCAGTAAGTCCAATTATCAATTCAAACCCTGCATCATATCACTAACACATAACAGTATGAAATACTTCACACAGATCCCAATTCGAGAAATAGGACTTGCAGGTGCTGGGGCATGAGGGTATCACTGGAAATGAAACAACACATCATTTGGCTAAGACTAGAGCGGAACATCCGTTCATAGGACCTGAACCAGCCTGTGGCATTTCTACAGGAGTTGCTAGAAAGGCAATCAGGGACTGGACAAATATGAAGCACAAGAAATACTGGGGATCCTTGACTGGACTCAGGCAAGCAAAGGGACTCATATGAGGACCCTCTACTAAAAGAGCGAAGGAACTGTTGAAGTTAAACAGGAACCAGCTACGATGGGTGGTAGGACTACTTACAGGACACTGTCACCTTACAGGACACCTCTTAAAATTGGGACTAAGTAACAGTCCAACTTGTGAGAGGTGTCAAGAAGATAATGAAACAGCCACACATATCCTGTGTGAATGTGAGGCCATAGCTTATTTAAGATTGTCACTTGGATCAATACTTTATGGAACCATGTGACTATTTCGACCCCCCCCCACGTACAAAATCCTGTGCTTCATTCGAAGTGCAGGATTGTTGAGGGGATAATCAAAAGGGGAAGCACAATAGACCACTGTGGGTCGTGGTGCAAGGGCCGAGAAAGCTCACTCTTTATGCATTCATTCATGATGGCAATTAACAAGATTCTCAAGATGATGCAAACCAAAGGAAGTACTTATATCATATCAGCACCAAATAAACTCCCTTCTCAAACATGTGGAGGCAATTGATAGCATAGCTGGTTGAGGCACTATGCTACAAGTCAGAATGTTGCCGGTTTTATTCCTGGTGAGGTCATTGGATTTTTAATCCTTCCACCTGCACTATGGCCCTGGGGTCTTGGCCTCTAACAGAAATGAGTACCAGGAATCTTCCTGGAGGTAAGGGGCAGCTGGCATGTAAGACTGACAACCTCATCTGTGAGTCGACTGTCTAGAAAATGTGGGAGCCTCGATGTCTCACAACCCTATGGGCCTCCTCGGCCTATTCCAGGCACAGCTTCACCTTTACCTTCTCAAACATTTATGTTGATGCAATGGCATCTACAAAACTGCAAAAATTCCAAAATATTCACTGTGTTAGGTAATACAAGAGCCAGATATTGTTAAACAATCCACAACACAAACTAATAAAAACCGAAAAAACAAATTAACTTAACATACCACTGGGAGGGCCTGCTGGACCATTCATCATGTTCAAGCCACTAAAGCCAGGGTGATGGGAACCTGATGTTGGGGCTCCACTCATTCCTGGACCTAGAGATACAGGTCCACTTGGTGGAGGTAAGTCACTGTTAAATGGCTGAGGGCCTTGCACAGATGGTCCCATTCTCTGAGGTCCTGGCAGACCAACTGGGTGCATGCCCATAGGTGCTGGTGGTCCAGATGATAGCTGAAATCCTCCTGGTGTACCAGATGGCGATGGTCTAGCCCCTCCATGCGGCATGGGAGGAAATGCATTTGGTGGAGGACCAAACCGTTGACCTGCAGAAGCTCCATATTGCTGTTGTGGTTGCTGGGGTAAATATTGTGGATTCATGATCAATCCACAAACAAATCTGAAACCATAGCAGTCTACTATTAAATGCCGCATTATAAACAATCAAGAAAGTTCTGCACATGAACGAAAACATTTCTTCAACCTTAATCTATGCGTAATTACCCGAATTAACCTCTTTTTTGAGATGTAGACAGTGCACAGTTATCTAATGTTCTAATACTAAACATCAAATGATGTATAATGAAATAAATCTTCCATCCAAAAGTCTGATATGATTTTTAAAAATCATAAATAACACTTACGGCAAAATAGATGACAGTTAAAAAGTTTAAACAATCATAGCTGTTTACAGCTTTGACTGTACTTCACTCCAGCTGGGTTTGCCACGTAAGGTCGTACCACGCATGCGTACAACTGGCCACGTCAACCTTACGCGAAAGATATTACGTTTTACATTTCATTAATCAGCAAGACACGTAACTGACTACAGACGAATTCTATATTTGTGACGTGAAAAAATTGACTTCCCAATTTTGTGTACACTATTAAAGAAGCTAACTGACTACCATTCGGAGACAAGTATGTGCGGGTACATTTTGATTCACACGTTGGCAACCCAGACCAATTAGCAAGGAGCTGGAAATCTACGATATTCTGAAAAATGTCATTTAATTTTGAATTTAATAATTTTACTTCTTTAATTTGTTGTCTACTTACTGTATAACTAACCTACTGATTAGTTTTACAGCATAGAATTCAGTGTATTAAATTCGGCGACTTAATTCCTAACCTTCGAGTTGTGATATATATCGTCACGTGTACAGGTGTGAATATGTGTCATGAAATAAGACCTCGAGGCGTATTCTTGCGACTCCACTTTATTACTCAACGACGTAACTTCATTTCAACGTAACTATAACACAAATACTGAACAAGTGGTGCATTGAACCCCTTACATAGGCCTCTCACAGACCACACAGAAAACAGCTACTGCTGGAACGTGTTTACCGGCCGGTTGCGGTCGAGGCACGGACTCCATAGAAAACGCCGCACTCCCATTGTTGCCTTGCGTGTATTCGGTCGCGAGCTTTTTGCGGTCATTTACCTAGCAACGCTGTGTCCATCCACGTTACAATATATTATTATATATTTTATTTTCCATATAATAGCAAGCCATTATCTATAATCATTTATGGTGAGAAAATAAATTAAATTAAAATCTGAATCAGCGAACAACAACAGATATTGGGCACACGTATTTCGTTTATTCCTAGGCCTAAATGTACATGTCACATATCCTGCGGACATCATATAGCTTGAAACTTGTTTCTTGTATGCAGAACACGCTGCCTAGCATCTAAACTCTTTGAAGAAAGCAGTCTTCTGGGATTTGGCACCGTGTATATGTGGTGTTAACCGACGTTTCGGAGGAACGTATCGCCTCCATCTTCAGGGTAGAAGAAAAATATATAAGAAATCTGCAAGCAAAGAGACCGTGAGAACCGGTAAAAGCAGTCTGCTTCTACCCTGAAGATGGAGGTGATACGTTCCTCCGAAACGTCGGTTAACACCACATATACACGGTGCCAAATCCCAGAAGACTGCTTTCTTCATAGTCACCGCCGTGAAAGCCTCAAATCTTACATCTAAACTCTTTATTTAATTTTTGGCGTTAGGCTAGTAACATAATTGAAATGATGATCAATAAGTTTCTCCTGTTATATTTCTTTGCACAACGTAAACTACGGATAAGGGGAAGACTATTTACAGAATACGAAATGTTGATTACAGATGACTAAAGCCTTGTTTTAAGCGTAGAATAAGGGAGATAGGTTTCTTTACGAGAGCGGACTGAAAAGAAATTGTCGGACCCTTCTCCTATTGAGCGAAACCGAGAATATTGTGACGTATAGACTTATTGCTATGCAACGACTCAGCACACATATTCCCTAGGAAACGTACCCGTGCAACAATAGGACGTCAATTGCTGGGTAACGGATCAGTAAACAAGCCTTCTTTATAATAGAGAGGCTGTATTTTCTACGTGGTTCGAGCTGAGGGACTATAAAGGGACAAAGAAGGTCGTTTGAGAGAGTTGTCGAGAATTGGGTCGAGTTCTGGAGATGGCAGTCGAAGGTGATTGAGAACAAATAGCAAGAAATGAATCAGACTGTGAAAAGAAGACTTCACATGTGATTTGAAGCTACAGTGAGACGGTTACAAATCCGTTGTCAGGACAGGACTAGTGAAGGCTGAGAATCCTAGTGCCTGTGTAACGGTGAAGTGTGATGTGTGTAGATCAGCAATAGCGCTGTATTACCTGTAGTCCCGAGTTGTGAATGCATAAGGTGCAATAAATCCAAACATTCAATCCAAAACCTGTCTTATAAGTCACCCGCAAAAACCCATACAAGTGACAATATTGCATAATTCGCTTCACGGCCCAGGAATTTAGAGAACCTGCCATATTTTGTAACTTATTTTTAAACAAAAGTAATATATTACAATTCAAATGACGTCAAATAAACAATTACATTTTGCATTTAACTTTTAAGAGTGAAAAAAAAATACCTACGCTACATCAATATATGATTATTGTCTTTACTGCAAGGTAGCCGTATTGGAGTGTTGCAAAGGGATGCTGATAGCGTAAATTGGCAAGGAATTAGTTTGCAGATCATCGTGTTCTGTTGCACAGGATCTGGGTCGCCGTCATGAGGGCATCCGGTTTATTTAACCATACAACTACCATATTGCAGCTCGAAGCAGTAGTGGGGAGGCACAAAAAATTTTATAGTAATAAGTTCTATGAGAAAATTAATGTAATTCGCGAAGTATATGTGTAGGTTGACAGGAACACTAGAAAGAGAGCGAACGTTATGTTGCAATAAATGAATAAAAACTGTCAACTATACATGAAATCAAAGTTGACACTTTTCCATCACGTAATGTTTTTTTTTATTTATTGTCATTCGCTGGAGATAATAACGTAAAAGCATAAATCTATTTTTTCTTAACAGAATGAGACTGGCCTGTATCCAGTAATGTGTGAACCGTGGAACAGAGGGAACAAATGGTATGGGAATACCACGTGTAGTAATTCGGAGGGATAACTATGGGAACAGACAGGGAATGAGTCAGAAATGGGGGAATAGTTTATATATATATGTATATTTATTTATTTATTTATTTTTTTTGCTGCAGGACCAGCATGAGATATGATATGGAATAATAAATTATTGCATTTTTAATTGAATAAAAATCCACGAAAAGAATATTATACTAAGAATTTTCTTCAATTAGATGGAAACAAAAGATTCAGGATAGCGCAGTCGGTATAGTGACTGGCTACGGGCTTAAAGACAGAGGGTTCGGAGTTCGAGTCCCGGTATGCTCAAGAATATTTAATTCTCCAAGCCGTCCAGATTGGTTCTGTGGCCCACCTAGTCTATTTGCCAAAGGGTTCTGGGGACTCACTCCGGGGAATAAAGCTGCTGGGTCATGAATCTGACCAACCACTTCCAACTAGTGCCGAGGTCAAGAAAATATGGATCTCCACTCCCCCATAAACCTTCATGGCGTAGTGCTGAAATAGTTCAGCACAGGGACAACTTTGCCTTACCTTTAAGTATTAGTAAGTTAGAGCAGAGGAAAGGAATTTTTACATAATGCCAAGTTCAGATTAAATTAAAAACTTATGCAGGGATAAAATATTTATTCTGTAAATGGAGGAACAGGAGACAACAGACAGAACTAATCAATTCACTTGAACGGTATGTAAATAAACTAGTCCTGTAAGAAGCCGTGGAGGCCCATAAGTTTGTAAGACACTGAAGCTCCCACATTTTCTCTAGACAATCTGCTCACAGGTTCACTTCAACAGTGAGTAGGACGACAAATTCTCAACTCTTGCAGACCGTTCAAAAATCACTATGAAATTGGAACAGATCTGAGCCTAATTTTTGGAAGGTGAAGAAATAAAATAAATATACTATTTTACTAATCTGTACTTTCTGCCTTCACTTAGCAGTGCTTATGATTTTGTTTTGATCCTGTGCCAGTTTATTTCGCTGTGACCCAACTGCATTACTTAGTCACTTCATTAAATTGACTAAACTTCAAGCAGAGAACATACAATTTTATTCAACTGAAACCCAAATGTCTTTATTTTATTAGCGTGATCGTTTATGTGTTGTACTTACATTAAAAAGGTAAAGTTGTCCCTTTGCTTAACGAATTAAGCATTACGCCATGAAGACATACGCGTAGGGATGTATATACCCACGTTTGCTTGACTTTGGTACTAGGTGGAGATGAGTGGTCAACTTCAAGTCCCGGCCGCTTTACCCCCGTGGAAAGAGTCCACGGTATCCATTGGTTAGGAGGCTGGGTGGACGACATAGAGAAGTGAAAATTCCTGCCCCCAGCGGGACTCGAACTCCGACCCATTGGTCGTCCAGCCAGTAGCCAGTCATTATACCGACTGCGCTATCCCGGCTCATTAAATTATCTGAAAACGAAGAGTGAGAAAATTTGGCTTTTTTATATTGAAAATTCAAGGGATATAAACTGATCAACTCTGAACTGTAGCGACTGTCCTGACCTCTAGGCAGATATCAGGATAGTAGACATACATTAAAACGTATCACGGCCACTTCCATCGAAATCCTTTCCAATTCATTCAGAAATCAATCCACCATTCCTTCCAATAAAGAATTGAAAAAAAATATTCGTTAATTAAAAAAATAGTAAACTAACCAAGGCTACAACACGTTCAGACGTTATTTGGTATTTAATGAGAGAAGAGACTGATTAGTGTTTGGAAAGGAGTAGAAGATACGGAGGCCTATATTAGTGTAGGCATGTTATGTGGACATTTTATATAATGACACTGAAAAAAATCATTACTTCCTGATAGAGGTGTCAGGGACACATTGTGGAATACCTGTATAGTCGTGCTCTCTTCAACCTTAATACCAATTCTAATATGGCACACTCCATTATCGTAACGAGTATCAGCCGAATGAGTCGTGACAATGCGAATACGTCACCTGCCGGCATGAAAACAAAAAACATTCCCATCAAAACCATTTTGTGAGGTTATGTATAAGTGTAATGTTAAATTTTAGAATACGGTTTATTGCCTCATAAGTTGGCAATGTCTTATAACCCATGAGCTGTGCCGGCTGTAAATTGATCAACGATACAAATCAGAGAGAATATCTGTTCATCCGGCCGGATTCAAATCGAGATTCTCCGAAATGACAATTAGTCTGTGTATCACACAGCCATTCACACATGGATGATATTGTAATCGTATCCGGTATTGAACCTAGAGCCTGGGGTCCAATCCTGCTTTTGTAGCTGGAAATTAAACAGGATAAAGGGTAAAATATTCGTAGTTACAGTAATTCAATACATCATAAGGGGGCACGCAGTAGCGTAGTCGGTTAAGGCACTACGTTACAAGCCGGAAGTTCGCGGGATCGAAACCCGATGAAGTCATTGGATTTCTCAATTGACCTAATCCTTCCAGCCGCACTATGGCCCTGAGGTCGACTCAGCCTCAAACAGAAATGAGTACCAGGAATTTTCCTGAGGGTTGTAAGGGAGGCCGGGGCGTAAGGCTGGCAAATTTACCGCCATCTATGAGACGAAAGTCTAGAAGATGTGGGAACCTCGATGTCTCACACTCCTACGGACCTTCACGGCCTGTTATACGGACTGTTTACGTTTTACCCTACATACATAGTAAGTGATGGGTTTGAGACAATTAATGCAATGGAGCACGGCCAGCTTCTAGAAATTACAATTTAGTCAAGAAATGACCACCCCCTTTTGAAACACAAAGATTCATTACCGTGAAGAGTTCTGTCTTCTAGGATATAAGGCCGTATAGTCCTCTGAAAGACAACGGACGTATCGGTGGAACATATCACCTCCACCTTCAGGGTCGAAAAATAAGCCAACATAGAAACCAGCCTGAAGCATTATCAAGCAGAGAACCTTGATTATTGCTTGGTTTATTCTTCGACCCTAAAGACAGAGATTACATGTTCCTCCGAAACGCTGGTTGACTTCAACGGACTACAAGGAGTTTTATTCCAGAGCATAGAACTCTTCATAACCACAGATGCGAGAGCCTCAAATTCTACACGATAAAAATTCTCTCCCCTTAATAGCAACCGTCACCTGAAAAACAATTCCCGAAACGTCGTTTATAATAAATATATAAGATATTCCTTATACAATATCCAACAAAATACTTACCGAAATATTCTTACAGGTACATTCAGAAGAGTCATACAAAATGGAGTTATCCTTTATAACATTAACTCATTATGTTACTTTGATCGTCGGTGGATATCTGCCTGTCCGCGTGATGTGTTTGCTTTACGGATGTGAAAATTTGTTGGATGAAAGCCTTAATTCTTTATCTATTAGAAAACAAATGTCGTACGTCTAGAGGGATTTCTGAAAAAAACATAAATATATATGTATACTGTATGTATACAGTTATGCAGAAAATATCCACTTTTAATTCCCCCTTAAGAACACCTCAATCAACTTCAACAATGGATGCACAAATGGAGGGTTAAAGTAAATGAGGCTAAATCAACGCATGTAATATT